GAATATGAAGTATTTGAAAGGCATGCGGTGGGAGGAGTTGATGGCTGGGGTGAGGGAGGAGAAGAGAGAGGAAGAGGGCAGGAGGGACGAAGAGAGGAGGATCATCGCGAGGGAGACGAAACGCTTCATTGAGGGCGTGGAGAAGGGGAGGAAGCTCGAGGGAATCAAGAGGAAGAAGGCTAGCAAAGAAGGAGGCGGCGAGGATCCGGAACGTCATGGTGGAGATGGGGCTGGTTTGGATGTCAGGAGAACCTGGAGGCAGACTGAAGTTAAGGGCAAGAGGAAAGGACAGGACACTGCTGGGGATGAGAGGATAAGCGACGACGTGAAACAGGTGTTGAACAGGATTTTCTGATGCGTTGCCTTCGCGTCGAAACGATTATCATCATTTGAGGAACCAGCCTAGCAAATCTCTCTATTCATAGCAAAAACATTTCAAACGTGGACATTGTCATCGCTTCTTCGGCAATCGAAATGGATGCGCCTCCGTGTTCAAGACAAACTCGTCGAGACTCACGACGTTGGGGTCTTCGAACAACAGCCAAAAGTACTTCAGCGTCTCGGCCATCCAGAAACTTTCCATCTTGTCCGTCTTGCGCGGATCGGACAGCGTCACGTCCTCAATGCACGAATAGCCAAACTCGGTGCGCGTGTACTTGGTGATGGCCTCGAACATTTCCCACGCGCTTTCACGCAAGGACTCGTCGCCCGTGACGCGATAGAGGACGAAGATCGACTCGATCGCCTCGGGGCGCAGTTCGTAGGCACGGTTGGCGATGGCCGCGACGCCCTTGGGCAAGCGCAGCCGCTGGGACTTTTTGCGGAAGCGTTCGCCTTCAGGCAGCAGTTTGTCCTGGGGAGTTTCGTCATGGGAGTTGAGGAGGAGCATGTGCTTGTGCCAGGCTTTGTCGTCCCATTTACATTGACGGTCGTCAGCAGGGCACGAAATGAGGTGGAACATCTCCGGCATGATGGCCGTCGCGGTTTGCTTGTACGCCCAGATGCAGCCGTGGACCAATCTCTCCGCCGTCTCCAGATCTTCAGGAGAATTGAACAATTTCGCGGCCAAAGCGAACATGCCTCCAGCGAAACAGGCGAGGTGTTGAGTCTGTGGGATGAGTTCGGTATGGCCAGGCCTGAAGGACTTTAGGGTACCTGCCATGAGAATGTCTTGGTTGGTCGGTGTCATGGGTTTGAAGAGGATGAACTTCTTCATTGGATCTTTGGCGATTTCGTAGAGCTTTCTGTACTGCTCGTTGGCTCCCCTGAGCAGCTGATATTCCTTGGGGAAATACTCGTAAACCGAATCGGCTGACCCGCCAATAGAAAAGGTCACGCCGTCCCCAAACCAGCATTCCCTCGCATTGACGATATGTGGGAAAAGACCTGGTGCCCTTGTGTAGTTCTGCTGGCTTTCGAGGCAGTCCGAGATGCGCTGTACCGCGTCGTAATACTTCGGGTCGCCAGTCAGCTGCGTGAGCCTGGTAAATTCAAGACTCAACGTCCCAAGCTCAGCGACGAGAGTATGGCCTGATGCGCCCTCGACACCAATCTTTGACCACTTCGTGATTGGCAAGTGGTTTGGCGTGTCGAATGCGCCGTACAGCATTTCACCAAGCTCTATGGCCTTGTCGAGCAATGTGGGATATTGGCGATTGCTCACATCATATGCTCCGAGCAGACCTCCAAGATGACGGATTGTGGTCTCGAAGACATTGATTGGAAGTTGTGTAGCAGTGTTGAAATCGATGCCGGCCACCGCGCGAACGGCGGTCTCAAAGTCGTCCTTGAAGCCCATCAGCCAGAGTGTGTCCAAGGCATCCACCAGAGTCAGAGACCAGTTACCAAAAGTACTTCTATATCCACCTGTCACAGGAGCCAGCTCGTCTTTCAGCCATGCCTTCCGTCGATAGCCCTTCCACGAGTGCATCATTGCCGCTTTAATAGCTTCAAGACGAGCCAGCCGAGACTCTCTGGCCGGCCTGCTCTCGGGCTTGAAGTCATATTGGATCCTGGGGAGAACTTGAACCGCTGTGGGGAGGGGAATAAAGCTGCCAATTTTATTGATGATATGGCCCTTCCCGGGCTTCAAAGGAGGGTGACCGAGGCCTTCCTCCAACTCCTCAAACGGTTCTCCCTTGCCCTTGTGACCAAGTCCATACTCAGAAGGGGATCCATCACCAACCCATTCCAAGGACGAGCCGTAAAGATGCCAAATCAAGAAGAACAGGACGCCTGCCGTGGCGACCACAAGCAGCGGCCTCTTTCTGCGCATCACCATCGCATGCGCATGTCGACCGGAATACCGTGAATGTATTTCAATATTTCAATATGCCCACATGGTCAGGCTGATAGGTGATATTCCTTGTTCCTTGTATGCTCTTGTCTTGTTCGGGACACGGGCGAACCAAAAAGCTCGTCACACAAAGTCCAGCCTTGTCATCGAGTCTCTGCTCTTCCGGTACGCGGCCCGGTGGATTGGCATCAAAATGAACTTGGAACAAGGAGTCTCGATGCCAAAAACGCCACGTCAGGGGTTAGGCCGATTCCAGGTAAGACTTAGCGGAGGCGAAAATACCCTTGGCTTGACGGGGATGATAGCCAGTAGTCCAGTCAGCCGGTGTTAGTGGATCTACGCAGCAAATCGCGCCTACGGTTCTTTCTCTTTTCAGAATCAAAATAGCAACGCGCCTTCGAGTCTTCTCGTCGGGAATCTCTGATCAAGTTGAAATCGATGTCTCTGAATTCTTGGCCCACCTGTCGTCAAGACGCACCCCAATCTGCGAACCATTCGTCGAAGAGCAGGTCCATTCAATCTCGCAAGCAGCGCTAACGCAGGTACAGCCACAAACCAACGGGCGCTGATCCTGCCGCCAAAGAATGGGTCAGTGGTCGTCGGATGGCGGTGGTGGCGCCCCTTTTCACGCTTTCAAGGCTTGATTCTCCACCATGGCAGGTCACTGTCTCGTTTGTTGCAAGGTCCCAACCTTGAATGTTCTGGATCTTCGTTCTTTTTTGAGAGGGCACATATTTTTCGTTGCTCTGCTCATCCTCTTCTTCTCTTCTTCTTCGTCGTCGTCCATGTCATTCGCTTGAGTATATTGAAGTCCTTCGTTTGGTTCCTTCTTATTGTCACAGTCGTTCGTTCGTCTCCTTTCCCCATATATTTGCTCGACCGCTCCTATATAAAATAAGGTCTCGTCAAAGGTCTCGACGTCAGCATGAAGACAAGTCCACTATTTACTCTTGCTGCTGCCGCTATTTCCGGCGCTGAGGCATACTACAAAGGATTCAATATCGGGGCCAACCTGGCCAACGGAGCCTGTCGAAGCCAGTCAGATTGGGAATTCGTCTTCAACAAGATCGCCAGCTTTCCAGGAAACTTCAGGAGCGCCAGGCTGTACGCCTCAAGCGACTGCAATACCCTGGCAAACGCGGTGCCTGCCGCCATCAAGACTGGGACCACTCTCCTTGTCGGCGTCTGGACCGAGGATAACAATCATTATGAGGCAGAAAAGCAAGCATTATTGGAAGCCATTCAACAATACGGGCATGATTGGATATTAGCTGTTTCTGTTGGTTCTGAAGATCTGTATCGGGGCGACACCGATGCAAATACCTTGGCATCGCAGATCAATGATGTCCGCGGTATGCTTTGGGGTCTTGGAGCAAGCAGCAAGTCTGTTGGGCACGTCGATACCTGGACTGCTTGGGTTGACCCTGCCAACTCAGCCGTGATTGAGGCTGTCGACTGGCTCGGTAACGATGCATATCCCTACTGGCAGGGCGTTGAAATCGACAATGGCGCCGCAAATGACGCGTATTGGGCTGCCGTCAATCAAGTTAGAGCCGTCGCGGGCGGACGTGACGTGTGGACTACTGAGACCGGCTGGCCTATTTCTGGCGACGCTGTCGGCAACTCTGTCCCCTCGGTCGAAAACCTGCAAACCTTCTGGTGGCAGGTCTCGTGTGCAAGCTTCGACAGTCTGAACTACTTCTTCTACGATGTTGACGACTTCACGGCCTCACCGAGTTTTGCTGTAGTCGACTCTAACTACGACCCTCTCATCGACATGACCTGCGGTTCGTGAGCAGGCGAAGCGAATGCTGAATGAAACACATCGACATCATTGGCTCGCAATGAGCTGTCCAGTCCTTTACATATTTGCATAGCGCGGTTAGCAGAGGAACGATCGAGAACCTCAGGAGGAAATAGACTCACATTCGTGGATATCCAAATATATATATCTAATGCAGTGGCACATATCGACTGTCGTAAAGTATCTATTGATTTCCGCAACAGCTCGATTCGTGCCGCAAATCCTCGACCTACCCTCTCCTTCTAACCCTTCCCCTGGCCGCAGGGGCTGAACATCAGGGCAACAAAAAGGGACGACGGTAGTGAACCCAAAACCAGAGCTCAGATCGGCAAAACTGGTGATTTTCACGAGGGTGATCAAACGATGTCGGCTAGACAATCGAGATAATGTTCGTCATCACTGCTGCTGGATTGTTCACGCAGAGCTCTCCAGCAGCAGGATAGCGTATTGGTTCCTTTAAAGACACGCTTCACGTCGAGGCATGAAGCATCGGTTTGTTCGATATCTTCAACGTTGTAGATGTTGTACTGTTCAGGTAAGTGGTAAGAAAGAGACACGACCGAGAGCAACACCTGCATCCTGTGGATTAGGACATTTGTGGTATGTGGAAATGTCTGGCAATTTGATACTGTGGAGCGGGAGACACAGGAGCACGGACATTCCATTGATGTTTCTCCTGTTGCAAATGTGTCAGGCTGCGATGGGAAAAAGGGGAAAGCCCCAGAAAGGTTCTAGAATCGGTATCTCGTCGTCCGGCTTCTTTAATTCAAGCAGGTTACATCATTCGGTCGGACGGTGAGACGTTGCAACACGAGCAGCGAACAGGTGAGTCATTGTCTGCTGACCAAGGAAAGCTTCCTTGTCTGACGAAGGCCTTAAACGGACTGTCGAGCGGCCGGAATGGACGAAATTGCCTTGACATTTTGGGGCCGGCCCATCGAGTCGATTCGGTCAGACAGACGCCCGTCCCAGTTACCGTGTTTGGTATAGATTCATCCGGCTCGGACGACGCGAGGCTCAATTATCCTCCCATCCCACTTCCCGCTTTCCTCTCTTCTCTTTCCTTTCCACATCCCCCTCATCCGCCTTGCAACCAGGCAATCAAGCAAGGCGTCTAGCACTCTTCCACCTGTCCTGATCGAAGGTCACTTTGGACGGTTGTTCATCATGGCTGCCACCATTACTGCCCAGCCTACCCGTCTCTGCATCTCCCTCTTCCCGCCATAAGAGCAATCAATGGCCCGAGTGGGAGTCTCCGGTTTCACGCAATTTATATCTACGGTCCTATCCTCTGGCTGTCAACCATGGCCAGCGAACTGTTCAATCACAATATTACGACTGTCTCGTCGGCGATGATGATAGCTCTTCAGCGCTCGGCTGGGATAATGTCGATGTCTCCGGTGAATGTATCGGCGACGCCTGCCGCGATCAAGACACATATCGGATTCTGGAGGAGGCCACGCACCGAATGGGCGACGGTTCTTCTCAAGCGGGAGATGCGGCCTCTCCCGGGGACGATCCCGTCGAGGCGTTTGGCAACGTGACTCTGAGTTTTCCAGAGAGTTTCTTTGCCAATCCCTTTGCCGTTTCCTTCCCGGGAGACATCCCATGCCCTGGAGCACCCGCGAGCCAATTCATCCCCGAATGCACCTCAGAGCCCGCTCCGAACTCGGGCAATTCTGGCACAGAGGCCTCTCCAATGACACCCGATACCGGTCTCTGTACGATATCGGACTTCAGCAACTCCATCAAATCGCCAAAGTCGACTCTCTGCACTCCATTGAACTCAGGTGAAACTACTCGTCCTGTGTCCAAAGGCCCGCTGGGTCCCAAGACGAAATACGGACCACAAATCCATTTCGTCGATATGGCCGATAAGAAGGGTGCTCAACGGATCCGTAACACGATGAACTCTCGAAAGCATCGTCAGAACAAGCTTGACAAGATAAGAGAGCTAGAGAAGAAGTTGGCGACGATCGAAGCAGAGAGGGAGAGATGGCAGGGGCGAGCGACGGAGATGGGGTGGAAACCATCTCAGTAGAGGTTTTGAATGTAGTATAGTCGACTTACATTGCTTGCATGTAAATCTCAAACTTCCAAACGAAAATATTATTAGAAGAGTTCCGATCTTTGGGCTCTCTCGCGCGCATCCACAAGGGCACTTTCCGATTTCCGCGCAATAGTCGAGTGTAGCTACAACCGTCTCGAAGGCTGTAAGTGGATATTTGAAGACAGAAGAATAGTGTGCATCTGCTTGACTCTCTAGACATCTTGGGAAACTATGCAAGCGACGTGGCTTGTGTTTAAACAAACCATATACGAGCTCGCCGGCATACAGCCTTGCGAAGCCTCGTGCAGCCTCGTGCGGTCAACAATTCACTACCCATTATTATTCACAGGCCGCAGTGCTTCTTCCTGCCTCACCACTCTCGTCAAGCTTCAAAGCACAACAACAGGGACCTGCATCAAGCTCCCATGCACTAAATCGATTTATGTCGCGCAAACCCTGTCAACATATACACCCAATTTGAAAGAAGTTGCGGGTACCACACTGCGAATAAATAGAGACCTTCGCAAGCTACACTTCCAGCGGCCGGGTATGTGGACACGAAAAAAAGTTCACAGTTCTACATATATCGGGTCTGGTGGGCGGGGCCTTCTTCTCCCTGTGTTTGAAAAAAAGAATGAGAGAATTAATTCATGCGTAGTTTTCGCTGTGTGCCCTCAAAGGTAGCGCGGAAGGTCTCGGCCCATATGTATGTCTCTCCTTCTTTTGAAACAATTCATTTCACATCAGCACGGTATGAGTCGATCATATCGTGGTCTTGATGAGAAGTTAACCGGATCTCTCTTTTGGCTGCTGTAAGATTGCTCGGAACGCTCCCCACCGGGGGGAGGCCAGGAGCCGCAGCACCCAAGTGGGAGATCCGGTTGTTAGGAGGGAGAAGGTAAGATCAGATCCGGTGGTGGCTTTGAACCTTTTTTTTTGGGCATCTTGTAGTTGAGAGAGGAGAGAAGAGAAGGTTATGGTAGGAGGGAGATAGAGATATAAAACTATAATAAGAATCGTTATACGTATCAGCAGCACCCTAAACTTATTGTTATGTATATACGGAGAGAACTATTCACTGTACAACCTCTCTCTATTTCGGTTTCGCCATTTCTTCGCCTCTCGCCTTAATTGTCTTCCGCCGTACATACCAGTTCCAGAATACTTCCCAGGACGCAACCGTAGCCATGAGAGGCGGGCAGACAAGAAGCAGCAGACTCCACCACCGCGGACTTTTGGATTTGATCTTCCCCATAACGTCCGCAATCTGAATCCTAAGATCGTCTTTATTTCCATCATTGTAGAGGACATAACCTTTTCCCGCATTCTTCTTGTCGTTGTTTCGACGTTCACATCGCACAGCCTTTTCTCGCACATCGGCCTGGCTCTTGACTCTGTTCTCTGCGTCTTCAAACGATAGATGCGGATCTCGGTCTTGGAGACGTTGCATCTGGATCAGTGGATCAGAGACAGCGACGACAATGACCGTGCTGCAGAAGATGTCGAGACCAGACTCGAACAACAAGGGAACGTCGACAAGCACAGCCCAATGTCCTCGGAGATAGTAATACAGCATCGCGCGTGCCATTAGAAGCCGTACGGCCGGATGTACAATGGCGTTCAGCTTCTTCCTGTCGCGTATCCTCTCTTCTGTATTGCCAAACACTCTTCTTCCCAACATGGGTCTGTTCAACGGTCTCCCTTTGCCGTTCGGCCCATTTTCCTTGCCGCCGCATTGGGGATCTGAGGCCGGAAGGAGGAGATCTGGTGTCGTGGGACCAAAGGTTGCGACTATCCGGCGGTATCCCCATGTACCTGGTTCTACTGCTTTTCGTGCTAGCAAGTCGGCATCGACCAATGGCAAGGAGTACGGGGGAGAGGACAGTATCTGAGAGCAGGTGGATTTGCCGGTTGCGATCGAGCCTGTAAGACCGATCACAAGCATCTTGCGGTCTTTGCAAGGCCAGTGTTGGCCGAGAATAGGACACTCTTGCAGACAGTATTGCAGAGCTTAGACCAAGCAGTAAACGGCCAGTGCAATTTGGATCTCACCACAGGACAGTTCTATTGCGAAAGCCGACAACGGCCGAGGTCAACTTCGGATTCCGGAGTAACTATATTCCGTACAAGACGACGCTAGTGGCGAGGCTGATGCTTAACCTAATAAAAACAAATTGTGGAACGTTAATGTGAAAATAGTATCAAAGACTCAAACGCATATCCTGATACTGCATCCGAGAAGCCAACAACCGGCAAATCTGTTAGTTTGCATTCGTCTGGCTTCTTTGTGCTACATTTACTTGCTGTGACTCATCCTGGAGATGAAAATCATCCCTCTTTCTTCATAGCGCCATGCCAACCATTCCAATACCATCAAGAGAAATGAGACACTGCCACTCGGACTGAGATTTCTGTCATCCTGATTGTGGGTGCATATTATGCCCTTTCAGGCCGTTAAAGGCATTCAAAAGTTCCCAAGCTCATTCCGCAATATTGCCCGGTCCCGTACGTCGTCAAAAATGACTACGGTACAGCTCCCATTGACACCAGCGGAGAAGCTGTTCCGGCAGTGCCTGCTGGACTGCCGAAAGGAGATGGACTCCGTACCTGGGATGAAGGATCTCGTGCTTCGGTGGACAGGAGGCTGGGTCCGGGATAAGCTGCTCGGCGTGCAAAGCCATGACATTGACGTGGCACTGAGCACGATGACCGGATGGGAGTTTGGTCAAGCACTGCAGACTTTTATCAAGGAGCATGGCACAAAATACGAGGATCAAGCTAGGAAACAAGGATTCAACTCGCATGTGAAGGATATTCACAAGATTGAGGCAAATCCGGACAAGTCAAAGCACCTAGAGACCATCACCACCCGAATGTTCGGCATTGATGTCGACTTTGTCAATCTTAGAAAAGAGGTGTACAATCATCAAGACCGCCATCCACAGGTTGAATTTGGCACAGCCGAAGAAGATGCGCTCCGTCGCGATGCCACCGTCAACGCCCTCTTTTACAACCTAGACACGCAAGAGGTCGAGGACTTTACGCATCGAGGGCTCGAGGACATGAAGAACAAGATTATCCGGACGCCTCTTGCGCCGTATCAGACATTCAAGGACGATCCACTACGGGTTCTGCGCCTCATCCGGTTTGCCTGCCGACTGCAGTACGAGATCGAGCCGAGTGCGAAAGAGGCGATGAAAGACGCAACCATCCACGAGGCCCTCCGCTTGAAGATCAGTAGGGAGCGCGTGGGGGTGGAAATCGGCAAGATCATGGCCGGACCTGATCCCTACACCGGATTGAAGTACGTCAACGAGTTTGAGCTTTACTTCACTGTGTTCGCCGACCCGACAACACCACCGACCGACGATTCGGTTGACGCAGGTCATGCAATCATCGCCTACAACGGTCTCCAAGGGATCCTGGACGAGAAGTCCTCGATCTGCCTAAGCCTGAGACCCAAGGAGGACCAAGCCCTGAGCTGGTTTCTCGCGGCGTACACACCCTGGTGTAAGTCGTCAGCAAGCGCATACCAGGCGTCCAGGGAAGGCATCAAGGCCACAAACAGCATGAGCAAGGTCCTGAGAGATGCAATCGACATGCGGCCGGCCATCCTCGACGGAGTGCAATCCGTCAACGATGAGAAAGCCATCCGAGGAGACGTGGGTATGACGCTGAGACGGTGCAGAGAGGCGTGGAGATCCCATGTGCTTTTCTCACTGCTCTGCGACCTCGTGGAGCAAGATTTCTCGACCGTGATTGACCGCTATCAAAAGTTCCTTGCTTACATTCACTATCAGAAGCTAGAAGACGCGTATGCTGTAACTCCAATTCTGAAGGGCAACGAGATCAGAGAAGCATTGGGTAATCCAAAGGTCGGTCCCTGGCTCGGGAAAGCGGTCGATGACCTTGCACGCTGGCAGTTCAACCATCCTCAGGGGGCGAAGGAGGAAGCAATTGACATGATCATTGGCAAAAGATCGGAACTAGGTCTCAGTTGAAGATTGTGGCTTTAGGAGAAGTCACTGCGCGTCGATCGTGGCTGTAAATTGGAAATGGACGACAGATCAAGAAGGCGTGGGTGACCTGGGGAGGGAGCTCTGGTGTGCTTCGGCATTTCTCATGTAGAACAACCATCCCCATCCTCTTCACTCTCCTCTCACCTCTCCCTCAGACGCAACCAAAAATTTGTAAGTATCCCCTCTTTTCCTCAATATGTGTTCTCTCTGTGGAGTGTTAATCTTGCTACTGGGTGAATGGACCTGCACAACAAGCTGACGTTTGAACTTACAACCTCACTGCCCTCCTCTGTTGTACCGTCCTCTGAGACGCTGCCGCTGACGCCCTAACTCATTGCTTATTCTTACATGACTATGATCAAGATGGCTATACTAATAATATCGTTTGATCTAGACAAGGCACCTACCAGCACCAGCACCAGCACCCAAGCAGCAAAGGAGAAGCATCTCCGGCCTATGAGGGTCGAACTCAACAGCAAGTATCAGGATTGCAGCAGGCGGGCTTCATCTTAAAGAGGGACCAAAGTCGACTGTTTACTGTTCGCTCCGAGCTCCCGCTGCTGCAGGCGGTGCTCGGGGTATGTGTTTTTAATATCCCTATACGGTTAATGGAAGCTAACTCGATCTTTCAGGAAGTTTAGGAGTAGTAGCAGCATCGTTGATAGTAATAGTGTGTGGTAGCATGAATTGAAGATGAAATAGATTGTACAGAAGAAATAAATTCTATTTCCATGAAGATTGTCCTTTAAGCCGATTAAAACGAAAAGTGACACAGTCCGACGCAAGATACACGCTGTATCTAATGTAGCCGAACAGAGCTCAACATCGACGAAGTGGTCGCTATATCGAAAACAGCTAACGGCGTACATAAAAGGGCAGAGTACCTCTATTTCCAAAAATAAACGCCGTGCTGATTACCAATGAAGGTTATCTCCGTGGTATCAGCGAAGGCTTCGAGCGTGCCAGTTAAATACTTTTCAATTCGGCTTGCCGTCTATAACTTCGAACTTGCTGCAAGCCTAGCAGCCCTCAAGGTGACATCCCTTGCCTCTTGACGAACAGCCAGATCCATCATGATCTCTTCACTGCCACCACCAACAACATGGACACGCACATCTCGGCTGATCTGCTCGATGCGAGCACCTCGTCCAGTCTTGGCATAACCAGCTCCGCCCATGATCTGTTGGGCTTCTCGGCAGACTTTTTCCAAACATCTCGTGCTCATCACCTTCAGCAGGGCGGTCATACCTCCCACATTCACCTCCTTACCCGTAACACGTCCGGTCTCGATTATATAACAGAGCTGTTCTAGGAAGGCATGGGCGGGCTCGATCAGGAGCCCGAACGTAGCAATCTTTGACTTGATGGGGGCATGTTCGATGAGTTTTTTGCCGAATGTTTCGCGATCGCAGGCATAGGTATATGCATCTTGAGCGCAAACTCGGGCCAGACGGAGTGCGGCGGTGGCGAGAGACAAGCGTTCTGGATTGAAGTTTGACATGATGATTTGAAATCCGTGATTTTCTCGCCCGATGAGATTCTCCACTGGAACTTCGACGTCCTCGAAAGTGATAAATGTTGATCCTGAGATTGTTAGAAGGGCAAGGATAATAATGCACTGGGGGCAACACCGTACCGCTTGCATGGACTCCTTGATTCTCCAGCCTTCGTGTTGTAACACCCTTCGCCTTCAACGGCACAACCAACAGGCTGATGCCCCCACGGCCAGGTGCACCCGTTCTCACGGCAGCCGTACAATAGTCGCACCAGATTCCGTTGGTGATCCATTTCTTGCTACCGTTCACGATATAATTTGCACCTCTCCTCTCCGCAGTTGTCCGTATATTAGCCACGTCACTTCCTCCGTCCGGCTCGGTGATACCAAGACAAAACCTGATCTCCCCTGTAGCAACTTTCGGTAGCCATCTTTGTCTTTGTTCTTTTGTTCCGTACCGTGCAATAGGGGGACAGCCAATGCCGTTGCCGCCTCCTAGACCCCATATTGGACCGCACCAGCCCAATCGGGCGAACTCATCGCCAACGATAACACTGCACCAGGTGTCCCATTCGTCATAGGGGATTCCCGCAGGCTGCTGAATACCACCCGCATCAGCTGGATCAACGACAGGGTGTGTAATCGCAAATCCTAGCTGGCAGTGCCGTAGACGGACGTGTTCAGGCACTTGGCCAGCTATTTCCCACTCTTGTGCATAGGGTGCGAGTTCCGTGTCGACGTAGTTGCGGACAAATGCACGGAGACGGTGATGCTTCTCGGTGTAGTACGGGTTCGTGGGGAGGTCGAGCTGAGGGAGAAGAGGTTCGGAGAAGGGTGCTGGAGGAGCCATTTTGGTATGACTTCAGCTGTAGAATCAGTGGTGAGGAAGCAAGCTTCCAAAAGTACCTGCGGACTACATGGTGTAGAAACTTGGGTAGGATGCGCGGAGAGGGTGAAACACAAGGACGAGGCCGAGTTGAGCCTCGGTCTCAAATGCTTGGCTGGGACTAAACCTAAAATGGAACCCGCCGTGCTTAAACCCACCACAGCCTCGATGGCAAGGCTGAGGCACAAGCTGAACTTGTCAGGCAACCGAGAAGCGAGTCACCTCCCAGCACTGGGCAGCCGGCGACAGCCTCTTCACAATCGATTCCTCCCGCACTGTTGAATCCTGCGTCCCCTGCTTGCGCGAGAGTGGCAAAGTCGTGGCCATGGAGGTAGAAATATTGTCATTTGGTCAGCATACTGAGATTGTGCCACGCGGATTGACTGTCATCTCACCGGGTGCGTTGCAAATTGTGGCGCATTCTGGATCACAAGGTGGAATTGAGAGTTGAAAATTGAAACTGAAAAATAAACAACAAAAATGGTCGACTGCAAAGTCGTCGCGTTCTCAATCAGGAGGCAACGTACCCCGCTTGTAGCGTCATAGTCCTCCGAGACCACTCTCCATCCCTTGTTCCAACCCGGTATCGAGATTGAAGAATGTTATATTCTGGTAATCCGCCTGGTAGAAGGACTGCTCTACTCTCACGGTTTCGAGAAGGCTGAACGATAACTCCCGGATCGATTGGTGCCAACGTCCACGGTTTGTCCGTCAGGAAGGCCATTGTTCGGACGGCCAACTATCGACGGCACCGTGGGGTGCAAATTGGTATATTCTTCATCCGAGCAATTGGTTGAAATACCATACCATTGAGAACTGGTAGGTTTGCCCCTACTTGAACCGTTGTATCACAAGATGCCCGTTTGGCCATGTCCGTTACATCCATGAATTGATTTGCTCAAGCAGTCACTCCTATTGGTACGAATCCAGTAAATTCCATCTGCAGGGAGAGGGACCGTGTTCAGTGGATCGATTTCGGCCACTGCTTCGACGATTATGTTGTATCGTTGTCAATTCCAACCAGAACTGAGGTGTTCATGTAAGGGAAAATCGGTACAAAGTCGGCTGTGACCACTTGGAGCCCGTGGTTGTCGATGTTAAATTTGAAAGTGCTTTGGAAGGATGTGTTGATGAGCCTTACAAGGCATTTCTCCTCGGGGACCCTGGTGTTGGGTCGTCGAAGGTGATGCTATGGAGGTGGGACTATGGTGTTGGATTGTGCTGATCTATGGAATCTCTTCACATCACTGGCGCCATTTAGTAAGATGTCGAAGTCGGCGAGGCCATTAGTGAGCACATCAAACGTTGAATTTTGTTCCCAATCGGATATGATCAATGGCGGGGATGACGGCTTCGTCAAAGGCAGCAGAGCTTGGTTCATGCAGCGAGATGGAGCAAAGCAACAACGCAGAAGAATCATGATTATATACACGATCGTTACCTTATAGGTAAGGACTCGAACCTTCGCACGTTGGCTTTCGCGCTCAAGCTAGTTGCTCCCTGCTACTACCCATACCTCAGAACCAAGATCAAGGTTCCGTAGCGTACCTCGAGTGCTGACCCACTTTCTGGTTTTATTTTTCGCACCTCGCTATATCTACCCAGTACCTAGGTAACGACATGGACTCTGTTGCCGCAGAACGCGCACGAGCATACTAGGTATCTTTGTCGTCTCGTCCTTTACACAGTCATGTTCCGAAGCTTCCCCATAGCAAATTCCAGTTGCTCCACCGACGAGCCCCTTGCTGCCTCCTTCCAATCGTCATCAAAGTCATCGCCATTGTCGTCTTCACCAGCACTTCTCTTGGTGCTGTGCTTGGACGAGTACGACAATGCGGCCACAACCAGCAGACCAACTAGAACGGCACATCCCGTACCAGTGACAACCCCCTTCATGTTCGCATTGGCACCTTGAGTGTACGCTTCAATGATTTGCTTCTCCGACACCCCTGATCGAAGCTGTTCCTCTATTTTCTTCAGCCCTGCGTCAAGTTCTTGCTTGATGAAATGCCTCTCCTTTTCCTCCAAACGATTGAATTGGAAGGTTAAATCTTCCTTGACCTTTGGATTATTCGTCTTGAGATGATTCGAGATCAGTTCTCTGACCTGATTCTTGTCTAATTCTCCTTTGCTTCCGTACTCAAGGAGTGTGACCTCCTTGATGCTGACGAGAGATGTATTGACGTTGACGGAAGGGATCCAGGTCCACTGGGAGGTCTTAGAGGGCTTGGGAGACTTCTGCTCCGGCATTTTGCTTTCCTTCGCAAACTGCTCTGTCATCGGTGCAGAGGACGGCGTGTACTTCTGATTGAACTGTCAGCCCTTTCAGTCTACCAGAAACACAATGAAGTCTACCAAACGGCCCAAACCTGCAAAGAGTCACTTCCAACTCTAAAGGCCGACTTTTAGGACTTCGAAAACAGTCTATGCTGCGTCTTATTAACCACTTGAGGGAGCATCCCCAGGAATTTGCCAAGAGTGGTAGGGTTGCGGCGCAACGCCCGATATGTGTGACTGTTACATGATGTCGGTTTTCAATCTGCGACTACATCTTAGCAAAGCCGGGCTTGCATTAGGAGCAAATGGGAAGTTATAGAACATCGAGGCCGCCCTCTCATGTGTTCGTGAAGCCCTCCATATTGAATATCATTCCCATCCCTTATGTTTGCCCGGTTTTGACTACGCAATATGAATCACTGGACGGTCGCGAATTTTATTTGGATGTATGGCACATCACTGTACCTCCATCACCAACGCCTCTCGGCGCTGGCAGAGACCCTACCAAACGAATTCCAACGCGTCCGCCGTCGAAGCATGTACCTATCGTTAGCCCTACAGAACTTCGGCGAAGCTTTGCGCGAAATCGAATTTAAGGACCTTGAGCCTAACCATCGACGCAACCAAGATGTACTCGAGATGGTTGAGAAGGAGTCAAGCGCTCTGTTCGAGGTCGTTCGTGGGATGCAGGAGCTCATGAAAATACCCGATTCAGGAGTTTGGGACAGTATCTATTCATGGATTGGCTTCTCCTCACCCCCTAAAGAATGGCAGATGAAGAGTGACCGTTTGCTTTCTGAGATTGAAGAGATAGGGTTTGCCCTCGAAAGCATCAACCATGTCGTCACAGCTTGCAACGCAAGGAAGTTAAGCGAGCTCTCCGACGGGCTTGAACAACTCAAAATAAGACAGAGCGACACAATCAAGCGCTTTAGATTATGGTTTCAGGGGCAACGGTGGTCCAGGATTCGCTCTCGCCACGTGATGACGGCGGATATAGGAAAAGACCCAAAGCTTGGGTGCAAGATCTATGTAACAGGAACGAGACCTACCGCTGGCCCCGGTATGATTGAGCCTAACACAGAATGTTAAGTCGTCCGCCCTTACGGCTGACTCCGCGCAGATTCCTTGACGACACAACGGCCGTGATCCTTGTCGGAGAGATCGGAAATGTGGATAACATACTCGCGTTCTTCATCTGGTACGCGAAAGATGGAAAGAAGACTCGATTTTACAAAGGTAAGGGAACAATCTAGAGGTCTAACAGCGCCAGGTTAAACAGATAACTAGTTGACAAAGCACGCCCATTTCTAACATACCCTAAAAATCATCGCAATGTGGTTACAGTCTTTATATCTAAGGAATCTGACCTAGAGGAATAGTTAATCGACGCAGAGGAAGAGTTAATCGTTCTAGAGAAAGATCGATTAACTCTCGAGTTCCGCAACCCAAAGGGCACGTACATTCCTCAAATCGCCTTACTGGCGCCAGTAATAACAGTTGTTCAGGGACATATCTCCTAAGGGAATTACTGGACAATCATGAAAAGATGTTTGCTGGGTACATTAACGATGCCAAATTCCGACAAAACCGAAGGTACCGGTACAAGTCACTGGCTGGTCTTACACAGTCAGAAGGTCGAATCAAATACCTTGCGGAAGTGCTAAATCTCGACAATATAGACGAAGCTCGGGTTTTGCAGCTATGGCCCCATTGCGACTCTAAGTTTGTTCCTGGAACAGATCCCATTTACATTCATAAAGGTAGGTGATTACCCTGTTGCTAACCAATACTTTGCAGAATACTAAGCATAATAAAGTGTCAAGCACGGCGAGCTACGAAGTCAAAGGACGAGCCCTGATGCTTACTAGCGCAAAGGTTATAAGAACGAAGAACGGAATTGGTCATCTGCGAGGGAACTTCGATAGAAACTGCAAAGAGCTAAGAGGAGACTTCAAGGTTGAGTTCCGGACCACTGAAGGTAGGTACAAAAGTACACGGCACAACCTCAACACGGTCGAGGACGTTGTTTAACGGTTTCCACAGAAGCGTGCAAGGTGTATAGCCTCCTTCGAGGGCGTCGTCTTTAGCGTCAGGTAGGCTCAACTTGGCCATTGGATTATGAACGGATATGGATGTACGACTTCTGCTGAGTTCTAACCACAAAGGCTTAGCTTCCAAGCCTTCTTCATTGAGTGGAAGCATTGATGATAGAGACTAAGGAGAAATGTTTTACGACTTTCCTATTGTACTCGACGAAATTAGATTACTCATGTCCATCGCATTCAGAGTTGGTCCACTGCCTTCGGAAGTCCTCTTTAGTCCTGCTGTCTAATTACCATCCAGCCAAGGAAGACTGAGCAGCATCACGCATGGACATACGAACGGTAATTTGCACCTATATGGCCGTTGAAGGTGGAAAACAGGAATATTGCTGGGGCGTTTCTCGACTGGACGGCTGCTGTTCTAGGTGTATGGATTCAGCGCGACGTGCATTGAGAAGTCAACTCGACTCAGCCTGCAGGATGTTAGAGGGATGACAAAACGTGGTGAGGTTTTCATGTCAGGGACGATCCGTCAGAGCATAGATGAAAGCCGCCTTGCCAGACATGAACTACTCACAGCCCGCAGGATCCTCGGTGGCCCTCACCCCAAGTCTGGTGTTTTACAAGGGAACTGTCCTCTCCGAGATAGATATCCTTCATGTCGGCAACCTTACCAACTACTTACCCCTCCTAGAGTCACGACAAGTAATGTGAGTCAGTCCCTTTCGCTACCGGTTTGATAATAGCCTCGTTGGCTTGGCCCCGAACTTCTTTCGTGCCTTTTTGGTCTCCCTTACCTTCGTCATCGCTCAGCGAGGTCGTTATGGAGGAAAACTATGGTTGGAAAGCCCCGTGAATTAGCTAGATGCTTCGAACCTGTTTCCGACCCCCCCTGTGTAGTTCACTTCTTCCTCCTCCTTCTTTCTCGTTGCCTGTAGGGCTATGCGCCCTGTACTTCGCCAAGCTATCTCGATTTCCTCTACATTCTCTGTGCCTGGCTTCGCAGTGCCTCCATATGGATGGACCACCAATGAGGTTGCTATAGACTGGTCAACGAGGGTATTCGATTAAAGCAAATAATGATCGTGGCCCACGGCTTCTCTTTCTCGACGGCCATAACTCACATATCAACATGGAATTCCTCAGTTTATGTAATAAGCATAATATCCATATATATGCATATCCTCCTCATATTGCTCACCGTCTACAACATCTCGATAAGAGTGTATTCGCTCCGCTAGCATCGTGCTATTCTGAGGAGCTCGATAATTGGGTACAAGCGACTTAGGGACTATGTAAAGTGAATAAGGCACAGTTTTTCAAGCTATTCAAACCAGCTCTCTTAAAAGCCTTCTCACTGGAGAATGTTACTTCTAGTTTCAGTCAAACTGGACAATTTCCGTTCCATCCGTTATCAGTACTCGATCAGCTCTTTACAAGTTAGGACCCCAACAAAGTCGACCGTCAAGCGAAGGCTCCGGATCTCAATCATCTATCTCTCTTTCTGACGGGAGAGAGATTAATCAGGTTGTTAAAGAGGCCGTGGGTGACGTTCTCGGTTACAAGGGTCGAACTATACTGAAACACCGTGTTCAACTTCAAATAGAATGCGCTTCTTAAGGATGAAATTAGGGACTTTGAGAGGTCTTCCGTATTGAGAAGAAGCGAAAGAAATCGCAAAAGGCTTTATTTACGGAACTCAGGGGAGAGGGGGGTAATGCTGCAATTTCCTTCTCGCCATTGAAGATTTCAGACGGGCGGGAGCTTCAAGCGCAGGAAGTGAAGAAGGAAGAAGAGGTACGGGCTCGAAAGGAGCGAGATAAGCTTCAGAGACAGTAGAGTTAGGAAGGGCAGGCGGAATTAAAGAGGACTACTGCTACTCTACGGCCAGAAAAACGAGAGAGGCTATTCTTAAGAAGGCTCAGAAATAGGCACTGAAAGAGGAGGCAATTACGCAACGCCTAGTAAGCTTACACCTTTAAATGAGCAGAGAGCTATAGTTAACAACCAGCAGAGGAAGCTTCGAAAGTCTCAATCTCAAGCCTCCTCTAAAAGTAAAGATATTAAGGCTACTGAGAGGCTAATGGTTATAGCGCAGCAGATCGCTACTTCAAGAAGTGGGAGGCAATTGCGAAAGCCACAGTACTTGGATGGTTATGAATTATAGCTACAAAGATTCGCATTGATCCCAGGTCTCTGAAACCTCAAGTTTCTACTAATTTAGCCGACAATTGGCTGTAATACTAAAAAATGAAGTCTGTGGGATGTGCCTGGGGTTCTGGTGGTGAGCGCGTGCATACTGGGTACCGGCGTGGCGTGCAGTTCGGGGTGGGACCTCCTAAGCGGAAAACTAGTTGTGCTTCCTTAGTAACCATCATACGGAAAAGCATGGAACCAACTTGGAGCAATGTGGAAGTGGGCAGAGCGTAAAAAAAACAAAACAGGCTGGCTCTGCTCTGATATCCACCTACCTCGCCAATGTGAATTCGTGGAATTGGAGCGTTGTTCCTCCACTGCAGAATAGATTTCTAATCGTTCTCTCAAAATGCTGAGCTGCAAAGAACAGTTGGGCTCAAAAGATATCGGTGAACGGGAAACAAAAGTCCGGCATATAACGATCGAAGTGGCGAGAGCGCGCGTATAGCCTCTTTTGCCATCACGGCAGCTTTATCTCTATGCATGCAACGAGCTTTAAAAAAGCTGTTTTTGAGCCCTCTCAGCTATCGAATTTTGAGATCTGCTCGCAACTCGACTCACAAGTCCACAACCCGAAGAAAACTAGGTACCCCTGATATTCCAGGACCATGGCCCCAACCCTTCTTGACCGGGTCTTGTTGACGCCATTGTTGGCCTTTGTCTTTGTCAGAACCTTGCTGGCGCTACTCAACAGCCCGTTTCGTGGACTCAATGGTGCGCCTACTGCAGGAGAACACGTCGTCACCAGCGCCTTTCGGGCTTTGTTCAAGGCTGCTACCATAGGCCAATTGCAGTATGTGCTCTCCCTTCGCACTCGCCAGCTGGAACAGATCAGTGTGCAACAAGCCTGCTTGAGAAGGTGACTAAAACTGACACAAGGCAGAATCCTCATGCCGCCGTTCGCATCCAACTATGAAAGATGGTGCAAAGAGCGAAAACTTCAACCCGATATCGTCGACATCCCCAACACCAACATCAGGGGATTCTGGATTGGAAATCAACAGTCGGCAAAATACGCCATGGCGTACTTCCACGGCGGAGCTTTCGTGATGCCTGGCTTTGTCGGACACCTGAGCATGCTTTTTCGCTTCGTGCAATGGTCAGAAGGCAAGTTGGCCATCTTCTGTCCGAACTATACCCTGGCCCCTGACGGTCTGTACCCTCTTCAGATCGGGGAGTGTGTTGAAGCAGTTCGTTACGTCCTCTCATTGCCAGGTCGGACAGCTCAGACGACTCTTCTCGGCGGAGACTCGTGTGGAGGGAATTTGGTGCTTGCTGTCGTGAGCCACGTCTCCGGTCACCCGCATCCGCGATCTGAGGTGGTCAAACCACTCTGCCTCTCGGGGAACTTTTATGGAATGCTTGCCATAGGTCCCTGGGTGTCTTCTGACGAGGCGAGATTCCAATCGATGACTGAATTCGCCAATCGAGATACAGTCCTGACATCTTGCTCGCACTATTGGATCGAAGCGTACAAGGGCCAAGGAAAAGGGAACAGCGACGATGAGTACATCACCCCAGAAATGGCACCGGCGAGTTGGTGGACGGGCGCAAAGGTGTCTTCGTGTCTGGTCACTGTCGGAGAACATGAAACTTTGCGTGATTCAATACTCAGCTGGGCCGACAAGTTTACAAAAGGGGTCGGCCGTGATGTGACCAGGCTGGTGGTGGGGAAGAAGGAGATACATATTACTCCTGTTACCAGACCAAAGCGAGCAGAAGAGCTGGAGGGGCTTGGCCGCGGGTGTCAGGAGGCTGCGGTTAGAGAATGGATCAGGGAGAAGATTGCAAAATAGTCCCATGTGACCAGTTATCTTTGGATTGAAATGTGTCTGAGATTTAAGGTCGTCGGATCGTCTATAGTAGGGATAAAAGGGGCACCAATATATATATATATATATATAGCAAATTTTAGAAGGCTGGGAATGTATCCTATTGAACAGGGGTACACACCTTTGGCTTTTGATACAATGATGGGAGGACTGGGCTGCCTGAGGCCAAACGTAGACTTACATTAGTAGTCTGAAGAGGGTCCTAAACTCAAACAACGATTCCAAAGAGGCCAACAACGTTCCGTAGCTAGTTCGCTCAGTTCCTCGCTGGGCAAGTCATGCCCTTGGAAGCCGCTGTACATCATTTAGCTTAAACAAGGCAGCGGTTAAGAATCCATTTGCAGTATACTGACGTGTCCCTGGCGCCAGGTGGCAAGTCTCTCCTTCGGAACCGCAACCGCTGAGGGCCGAAATAGAAGACTCAACCACCTGAGCGTTGCATTTTGAGGCGGAGCGTAGGCAGCTATGCACCTATACACTGCCGATCACCTTGTGCGGTATTTTCGTAATTAGATATACCTGGTGCGGCACTCAGCTTCACCGCGCGGCCTGTGCAAACAGATCCGCTACGTGTAACCTTTCATTTTTTGCTTCACCAAGTGAAGATATAGAATCCTAGCCCCGATGATACGGTATTGAGAGTTAAGTGTCCACCACGGCGCCCCGAAGATATTCGATTTTGCTATTATCGATGTTGATCTCACAGGGTCTTTATAGGTCTGGGACAATGGCTAGAGAGAGCCCATTACTCGGATTCACCTTCATAAGTGGGCACAAAGAGCCTTGCCGAGACCGAAACCCATATTCTTAGGACCCTGGTCGGGGTATTGATGACGGACGGGGTCAACTGAGCCTGCACCAATGTGCGGATAGCGAAGTCAAATGTGTCCTAGAGGGATTAGGGCGCATAAGGGTGCCGAAACGAGTCTTCCTCGAAAGTAGAAGGAGCGAAGATCGAGAG